GGGGTCCTCAAACTTTTTAAACAGGGGGCCAGTTCACTGTCCCTCAGACCGTTGGAGGGCCGGACTATAGTTTAAAAAAAAACTATGAACAAATTCCTATGCACACTGCACATATCTTATTTTGAAGTAAAAAAACAAAACGGGAACAAATACAATATTTGTATTTGCATGTGGCCCGCGGGCCGTAGTTTGAGGACTCCTGCATTAGATCTTGAGGGTTGTGTATCCCGTTCCCTCCCTAGGCAACTCCTTTCATCAGAACAACTACCAGCATTAATGTGGTGATGAGAAACACTGAATATTGATTAGTGAATGTTTTCTACCTCCCAGCAAGCAGGTTCAGATATCAACAGGGTCTTTCTGGAAGTAGCAACTGAAAGGAGTGACTTTGAATGTTGCCAATGACAGGCACCGTGGCTGGCCTGTGGGACACTTCTGTGAGCCCCTGTCTTTATCTCTCAGGTGTATTGTCTCTCAGGTGACAGAGGCTGTCAGCTCTGTCAGGCAGGGCCTCAGCACAGAGCCTGCAGCCACCCACAAGGTTACTGCATCATCCCCCTTACCCTCCCTTGAGGCTCTTCCACCCTAATCAGCTATAGTGTTTGCATGTGATCTAGGAAGCCTGCATCACAATATGAAATGAGGTGTCTTAGTGACTAAGACAAACTGTGGTCAGCAAACTGCGGCTCGCAAGCCACATGTGGCTTTTTGGCCCCTTGAGTGTGGCTCTTCCACAAAATACCACGTGCGGGCGCGATTGAAACTTCGCGGCCCATGCGCAGAAGTCGGTTTTCGGCCTGGGCGAGTCTATTTTGAAGAAGTACTGTTGATATTTGGCTCTGTTGACTAATGAGTTTGCTGACCACTGTCTTAGTCTGTTTTGGCTACCACAGCAAAACAAATGGAATATCTTATAAACAACAGAAACTTATTTCTCGCCGTTCTGGAGGCTGGAAGTCCAAGGTCAGCATGGCCGGGTGAGGACCCTCTTCTGGGCAGACTTACTGTGTCCTCAGGTGTCGGAAGGGGCAAGGCTAGCTTTCTAGACACTGTTTAATGAGGGCACTAATCCCAGTCCTGAGAGCCCTGCCTACTTGCTCCCCAAAGGCCTCGCCCATAATAGCATCACCTTGAGCATTAGGTTTTCAACATATGAATTGGAGGGATGCATATACATTCAGATAATAGCAGATGTGAAAAACAATAATTCTGCAAAACTGCCAAAGATTTAGTCTCTATACATGGAACCAGGATGAGAAAACTATGCTTGACTGTACCACCCTCTTGCCACCCCACAGAATGAAACATTGAAAAACGATGACAACCCTAGTTGTCCTTCTTTCTGGATTCTCTCTGCCCCAGGTAAATGTGCATCCAGCCTCAGAACCTGAGCTACCTGTAGCAAGAGTCTCCTTCCTTTCCATGCCTCCCAGAACTGTGAGGGTGCAAAAATAGAACGTTGTCATGCCAAAGGGCTGGTGCAAAACCTAATAAAGGGAAGAATAGTATGAGCTCAAAGATATATATCCATTCTTGCAGTATCTGATCATTATAAAAAGAGATCAACCCCGAGAGGCAACAAATAAATGGGCTCATAAGTCCTGGTGCTGACCTGGGCTCCCATAGACCCTTCAGGCTGCACCCCAGCCATCCACAGATTTGTCCTCAGGATGTACTGTGGAGTGACAAAATGGCCATTTTCCTGTTCAACAGTGTTTTCCAGTTTAAGTTCCCACATTGTCTCTAGAGTTGCCCTTTGAATACATAGAAAGGAGAAAAGGTTCCTGAGGACACGGGAGCATTGTTCCTTGTTTTTATTGTAAGTGGCTGAGCATCAGTAGGCACAGTTAGAGGCTGGGTGTATTTGGCAGTCTCTCATTGTTTCTGTAGGCTCAGACTCCCAGGGGTACCATTCCCAATGTCAGCTAGAGCAGTCAGCGTCTGATGAATGAGTCTTGGCCAGCCATGCAGCGCGCACAGCATCTGAAAGAAACAAAGCTCCCCCTGACTCAGCACAGGTCCAGCTGCAAGAATCATTGTCCTAAATGTCGAGGGGCAACACCGACGGTCACCTTTCAGCCCCTCTCCGCTCCAGTACCAGCAAAGGCTAGCCTGGACTGGCTATTGTCTATTCCAATGGGCTTTAATAATTAGGTGGAGATCACAGGGCTTGGCACATATAATCGAATGTCAAATATAGTCAATCCAATGTCACATTTTAGAAGTTAGATCCGGAAAACAATCTCAGAATCCCATAAGAATTTATTGGCATATCAGCTATATCAAAAGGCAGCACCGAAGTTCTTTACTGCAAAAACGAAGAGATGTAGAGTTCCATGACTTTTTAAAAATTTCAATTAGAACTTTTTAAGGCAGTAAATATTGTGAAGCCTTTTGGAAAAGAATGTTTGATGCACTTTGTGTGCTGTGTTATTCATTATGTAGTGAACATTGGGAAATCGATTTTGTTCAAGATATGGATAAAGACACGGAGCTTCTTCGGGGACCTCTGACTTAAAATGAGTAAACCAATGCATACACAAACCCATCACGCGTAAGATTTCAATCGCTGAACAAATGGCTTAAATGTATGTTTCTCTGTGCGTTTCTATTTCTTTTTCTGGAGACTGATGGATAGAGCCTTTTGTTTCTGGAACTTGGAATGTTACCAGTAGGAAAGGAAAGAATTTTAAGTGTATTGTACAAGAATATGCAAACAGGAAGCACACCAAAAAAAAAAGGGCGAGTGTTTTTCAGCTTTCAGGCAGCAGTAGTAGAGGCAATAAAAGAATGATAATAATAGCAGTTAGTCCCCAGCCTACCAGTTGTCTGTGCCTGGCGTCCTGATTCCCCTGAGAACCACTCTTCAGCCCTCCACCTTGACCTCTGCCCAGAGGGAGAACCTCTACCAAGTGAATTACCTGGGCCCCCTTGCATGCTGGCTTCCACGTGGTTTCAGCCAGTAGGAGACAGCAGCCAGAGGTCAGAAGGAGGCACTACAGAGGTCAGGGAATCATAACCTAATGATGGTTCTTGTCATGTCATTTGGCCGCTGTCTGTGATTTCAGTTTTTGTGCAGTTGATTCCCAGGGTTCTCCAATACCCTGTGCTGGTTTCCTTCAACCCTGTCTACACCTTTAGAAATAGTCTCTTCTTTAAACTCTCTTTCTTACCCCTTTGAGGGTAGCCCTGTTTCATACCAGGGCACAAACAAATATAGAACCTTTGCAAGAATTAGAGAAAAGCACCCAGGTCAGTACATGGGGATCATTATCCTCTTGTCTCCACTTTGGTATATATTGAAATTTTCTAAAATAAAAGGATTCCAACAAAAGCAAAATGAAAGGTACCCATTTCGCTGACTAGTGCCCTGCAGATGCATAGCTTTATGAGCACAGAACTCGGGCTGGTTTCAGCCTCACCTTACTCCCTCAGCAGGTGGCTTGATGCTGCGCACAAAATGTCAGCTGAGCCTGGCGGCCCCACAGAGGAATAGGAAGATCCCTAAAAGTTGGAAATATCTTAAGGAGAGAGTGAAGACTGACCTGAGTCTTCTGGATATTTGGGACCCAAGTGGGAAAGGGACTGTAGGCAAAGATAAGGTGTATGGCAGAGACAGGCATGCATCAGATGTATACAGGGAGTAGATTCTGTAAGGCAAGGAAGGTCCTTTACAGCAAGTACTGCAGCATAAGAAAGGGGAGATGGGATGGAAATGGGCTTTGATTGCTGTGGATCGGAGCTTAGGATTGACAGGCAGTATGGTGCAGGATTGGGACACTGCCCAGGCTTTAGTCATCATTTTGCCATCTATTAGCTCTGTGACTTTACACGGTTATGTTTTCCTCTTTACGCCTCAGTTTTCTACTTTACAAAATGGGGATAAAATAGTACCTACAATGGCTGGGAGACTGGATTTTAAAATGCATGTCCAAGTGCTTGGCACAGCGCCTGGCTTCCATAAGCTCTCAGTGGACATTAGGTACTATCATCAAAACTTTTAAAACAGAAGAACGACAAGATGAAAGCTGTATTTCATGAAGATTAATCAGACAGCATGTGCAGACTGCACTAAAAAGGGAAGACAGAACAGGGAAGTCGGTGTGAGGCTGCTCTAGCTGTCTGCACTCCAGAGGGACATGGGAAATGAGAGAAGCGGTGGAAGAAGAGTAGGAGGAAGGAAAACTGACAGATCATGAGAGTACAGAGTCAGAGAGGGCTTCCAAGCACTTTTCTCAGATCTTTGGTCTCCCCCGGTATAAATACACCTGGGCAGAGTAGGCAGTTGACTTTGAAGAACAGACAATTTTGACATTTTAGTACAAGTAAAAGAAACATTAATATAAATTTGCCATTTCGGTACAAGTAAGAAAATTAAAGAACCATTTGATTTACCCTCTATTTTACTGAATATTAAATTAGACCCAAGATTCTATTGTAAAATAAAAACCCCAATGGACACCTCAAGTATTCCAGCAATCACTGGTGACTCCTCAAACTTTCCAAAGATGGTTATTTTTATCTGAAGATTCTTCTGATTAAAATCTTAGGTCAGGGCCTCCTCAGTTGAGAAAGAACATCCTCATATAAGAGAGCTCTGTAAGATCATAAATAATTTGCAAGTTTAGTTCTTACTAACAAAATAAACAGGATTGTTAAGCAAGCTATCAAGTTCCTGACTTAAGTATCTAACATTGGGATGGAGAGAGAAAGAGTAGTTAATTTAAAGTAATAATTTCTGTAAGTCCCCAATTGTGCATTCATCTGTAGGCAAGCCTACCTAAGAATTCAGTGCCATTTTAAAAAACTACTGTGAAGCCATTTTAGCCAATCTTCATCTGAGAACATTTATTTCAAGGTTTTACTTCGGCCTTTTTTCCAGGAACTGGGCCCTGATTCTACCAAGGTTTGGGCTCACTGTTAGAAACAGAGTGGCAGAATCCAGTTTCCAGGTCCCTCCTGCCTCATCCTGGTCTGTCCTCTCCCTCTGTGCCCTGCAGATACTTGCCTGAGATCATGAATGATGGGCTGACCAACCAGATCAACAATCCTGAGGTGGACGTGGACATCACCCGGCCCGACACTTTCATCAGGCAGCAGATCATGGCTCTCCGAGTGATGACCAACAAACTAAAGAATGCGTACAATGGCAATGACGTCAACTTCCAGGACACAAGTAAGAAAGTCCTTACCAGTAACCTCCAGAGTGAACAATGGTCACTGAAAATTATACCAGCATTTCTCTTAAGAGCAATGTGCACCTTTCATCTTGTGCTATTCTTGCCCAATCTACAAAACTGTTTATAGTCCTTTAGACAGAAAGCTCTGATTCACAAAACTTAGGATATTACTAAAATCATAGCTGGTCTTAAGGATGCAACCCACTAAATTTTCAGCTGTACCAAAGCTAAAATTGAGTTTCATCTGCCAGTTGATCCATTCCTCTACTATTCAATGGGAAGCACCTGCCTAAGAGGTTGTTAGGAAGTTCATTTGAGGCCATATTTTTTTATTGATGGGCCCCCATTGAGGCGGGCCGGCCAGACCCCACCCATGCACAAATTCATGCACTGGGCCTCTAGTAAGAAAGAAGAAAACAAGTAAACAGCACAATTGCACCAGCTAGTAATTGATGGAGCCTGATCTGGGACCCAGGTCTGACACACAGGATTTATGAAACAGGAAAGAACAAAGCAGTAAGAATTGGGAATAGAACAGGCCCAGAGGCATGCTGAGCAAGCAAGATGCTGCACTAAGACCACATACTGTTTGGGCACCTGGGCATTGGTTTCAAGCAAGAAATGGCAAACTTTTTTTGTAAAGGACCAGATATTAAACATGTTCAGCTTTGAGGGCCATGTGTGAACAGAGAATTACACCATGTATAAGTGAATGGCTGTGGCTACATTCCATTATAACTTTCTCTATGGACACTGAAGTTTAAATTTCACATACACATTTTTTACATGTCACAAAATATTGTTTTTCATTTGATTTTTTTCCAAACACTTGAAAACATAAAAATCTTTCTTGGGTTGTGGGCCATACAAAACCAAGCAGCAGGCCAGATCAGCCTGCAAGCCATCATTAATCAACACCTGGTTTAAAGGGAGAGGCTGGTTGAGACAAGGTCTATCCTTGTTCTTAGGGGAACAGAGGTCAAAAAAAGTAGTCAAGCCCAGCTGGTGTTGCTCAGTGATTGAGCATTGACCTATCAGCCAAGAGGTCACCAGTTAGATTCCCAGTCAGGGCACACACCCGGTTGTGGGCTTGATCCCCAGCAGGGGGCATTCAGGAGGCAGCCTTTAGATGTTGATGTTTCTCTCTTCCTTCCTCTCTCTCTCAAAAAAAAAACCACAAAAAACCTATTGAGATGGGGTGGGGACCATTGGGTGGGGGAATGTCCCCTCCCACTACCATGCCCAATTCTGTTACATGCCTCCAGTCTTTCCAGGTTGTGGTCTAACTTTCTTTGTCAATCTGTCCACACCAGGTGATGAATCCAGTGGCTCGGGGAGTGGCAGTGGGTGCATGGATGACGTGTGTCCCACAGAGTTTGAGTTTGTCACCACGGAGGCCCCTGCCGTAGATCCCGACCGGAGAGAAGTAGACTCTTCTGCAGCCCAGTTCGGCCACTCCCTGCTCTCAGCGTCTCTCGTCTGCATTGTCCTGGCACTGCAGAGACTGTGCAGATAATCCTGGGTTTTCGGTCAGATGAAACTGCATTTTAGCTATTTGAACAGCCAACTCACTTCTTTTCTTACACGCTTGGACAATGGACCATGCCACAAAAACTTACCGTTTTCTATGAGAAGAGCAGTACTGCACTCTGCCTCCCTTTTTGTTTTCCCAAAGAGTAACGGGTGCCAGGCTGGACTGCTTCCTCTTTCCTTTGCTATCTGTGGGAACCTTGTCTATTCTAGAGAATTCTTACTCAAATCTTTCTACCAGGAGATTTTCTTACCTTCATTTGCTTTTATGCTGCAGAAGTAAAGGAATCTCACGTTGTGAGTCATCCCCGCCCCCTCCCCTTTACAACTTGAAAAAAAAAGTAGGAATAATATTCTTCATAAAATCAGGCCAAACCCCAAGACAACTGCATTTTCAACAAAGAAGCAAACAAGAGAGAAAAATAAAAGAGCTCTAACACTATCAATTCAGTATTACCAGGCAACTCCCAGTGTAAGCTTTTCTGTGACTCATTGCGTTTTTAAAAAAATGCTATGGGGAGAAAGTTTGAAAATGTTTTTAGTGACGTGAAAATACACTGTTGTCTTGGAGGTATCGTCTTGTACTCTAACCATACAGCACCAAACTGATTTAGAGGTACTGGTACTAAATTTGAATTCTATCTTTAAAATGACACAAAATATTACTACAACTCAGCACCTCCCTCACCCTGACCAATTTCAATTGCAGTAATGGTGCCATTCTCCTCAATTCTCTTAATGTCTTTGTCCACTGGATCCAATTGGCACAGATTTCCCCTTCATCTTCAGTTACTAGTGGACGTCCCCATCAATTAATCCTCCTCAAGGATCTGAATGGAAAATAATCATCAACAAATGCAATCGCTTTGCTTTAGCCATAGGTTGGACATTAATTTGGTTTCTGCCCCTGTGCTCATTACCTCCCAAATGAAGATTCCTTTTAGTGAACTGATAAGCAGTTAGACCCATCCGTGAGTTTTCATTTTTAGCCATTTGCTTTGTGTCAGTTGGTTTCTGCATCACAAGGGCATTCTCTTACAAAATAACTCACAACAAAAAAAAGTCAAGACAAAAAAATATATATATATAGTATTGACATGGAGATTTCTTTCACTTTTTTAGTCTTAGTATGATCATCTATTTTTATATCTATATATATATAAATCACAGATTTTAACTTCTTAATTCCAAGCTCAGGGTTGACACACCTTTGTAACAAAAATGTTTTGTCAACCAGCTCTTCTTGTTTTGTGCTGCTCAGAGAAGGGATTCTTCAATGATCTGTGAGCACCAAGAATCAAGAAAGAGACCTTTTTACGTATCTAACTGTCCATTTAATAAAAGTTTGCCAGGGCACACCCTTTTTGCATGAGCGTGTTTTGTCCTGGATGCTCCAGACTGTATCGAGCTCATGGAGAGAGCCATGGGTATGTAGGACATTACTGGTGATGGAAGCTGTATGGGTAAAGAATGTGTTATTCACGCAAAACCATTGTTTTCACGTACAATGCCTTCAGCCTAGGATTCCTACCTGACACTTGAGAAAATGTCCTAACACAAGAGGCCAATTTAGAGCCACAGCCTAACTGGTCCACCCAAGTGTGCCAAAGCTAGGCCCTGTGCTCCCCTGACAGAGAGAAGCAAAATAAACCAAAATGGGGCTTTATGAATACATTGACTATCCATATGTTTCTTGGTTTTTATGATGCATCTGGGGTTGGGAAAAGTAATGTTTTAAGACACCATAGTACACCAGTCACTCACTGTTAATTAACCCATTGGCAGTAATGACATGTAAATGGTATTTTTCAATCCCCTTTCTCATCAAAATTATAATTAGTTATTGATTTAGTCATCGCGTTTAAGTAGAGCATATGCGCACAATAGTATTAAGTATAATTGAGCACTTTTGCAAAACTGAAAGTATTTAGAAGCATCTATTGCTATAGTATGCCTAATGAAATATGAAACGTAGAATTCTGAGAGACTTTGTGGCATTTTTTCATTAAAATTTTTATGAAATTAACATTTAGCCTAATTCAGCATTACATACTTCTAGAAAAACATTTCACTGCCAAACTTTGGCTTTCGGTCACCAATTCCACATAAAATATCTCAATGAAGGACCAATTTATGTTGTTCATGTCATTGTATGTTCAGAAATCAGTATTGTCTTTCTCCGAATAATTAAGGTGCAATACAAATTAAATCAACCTTGGTTTGACAGAATTTTGAGTAATAATTTGTTTTTATGGCTTTAAACTTCAAGTCTTCCCTTCTTTAAATGTGTCTGCATTGTCTTCTATGAAATAGATCAGAATGCCTTGTTTTCCCTGTGTTTTCACCCAAAATGGTTTTGTGCATGTGTATGAGTACACATTATATTAATGAATTTGAACCCATGTTCTGTACACACTAAACACACAGATAACATATAAACACCTGCTTCATTTGTTTCAACACCTTCATTATTAATAGTATTCATAATGGTTAGATGTAGTGATCCATCTGAGCCAGGCAGAGAGCTGAAATGACTATCAGTTAATGATGCCACAATATTAGTCACCTGCATGAATGTGGTCAAAATTATTCAAATTGTACTTTCTGGTTTTTATCATCATTCTAATATTTCATATGATTTCAGACTAATTTAACATGAGACTTAATCTAGTTACTCCATTTCAGAAGAACTTTGGAACCTCATCTCACCCCACCCCACCTCTGGCCAAATTAATTTCTCTCATTTTAGCATTGTGATAGGGGAAGCAATGATGCTGCATTATTTTTCATGACCTGACTTCTTGGCTTTGATGTCTCCTAAGTTCTGTAATGACATCATAACCTCTGTTACAAGTAGAGAGGGATGGGCTCACTGAAGTCGGAACTAGAATTTGTTGGGTGATGCTCATAACTGCAAACACTTAGCTTATTGAAGTGCCTCTATTTACATGTTTAGTTATAATATGTATTTTTCTAACAGAAATACACGTCTGTAATTGGTGTATATTATACTTTGTATATGTTACAACAAAAGCTAAACAGAGGCTAAAGTCTTTAGCAGAGAAGAATGAATGACAAATTCATGTATTAGAGCTCTGCTATGGTTCTGTACTGAAGGACAGCCATGACAACCTTCTGTCATCTTAATGAAGGTCAAGTTGGCACTTTGATTGTAGCCTTCCTCAAACAACCTTAGCAATAGCAATCTGACTCCCTTACAGTGACTTACCCAGATAAGTATCTTGTATGACCTGTTTTAATTGTAAGGGATAGAAAATACTACTTGTCTACACTGAGAAACACTATTTTTCATTGACAAGCTGTATTAAGTATAAAAGTAACATTCTATAACTCAAACTGAAAATATTATTGGTCACAGAACCCTGATATTTAATTTATATTCCCTGCTGCAGACATTAGCCTACTTTAATACTTTAGCCATTACATACATGTTTTGGCTACACACTGAACACCAACTAAAGTCCCCAAGGAGGAATAAAACCTTAGCAAATTCCTGAGTTGTGATTCTTTTGTTACTTCTATTTGCAAGGCTAATTGTCAAGTGGTTTGATTAAAGGTGGAAGTGTTAGAAATGCAAGTTTTGACTTATCTACAACTTGCAGAAATTCAAACTCATTTTCATTTACTTACAGTCACTAACAGACCTGACTTTTAACAAGACAAACAAATGGTAGTTTAGCTTTGCCAGCAGAAGAGTAAAGGAGACCATAACTTATAAATTTGCAATGTGTTCCTCCTCGGTGGAGACATTAGCCAGTGTTTAGTTTTAGGCCAAATTATACAAATAGAGTATTGATTTGTATGCATTCTGGAGCCTTGCTATATCATGATTTGCTACAACATGAGAACTCAGCCTAGCATGGGGCCATGTGAATCTCACTCACAGTTGAACAGTTCCTGGAATCTTGGACCTTGCCTTGCAAGGTGGTATGTCCATGAAAAGAAACCTAACAATGGCCTAATAGTGAGGTCTCTGCGTGCATATGCGTAATATATATGCAGGATAAATGTGTGCACCAATCAAACCTAAAATTTTATGTGACTGTCAAATGAATATTATTTGGGTTAAGATTTTTCATTTCTGATTTGGATAGAAAATTGCTATTAATCTTGTATTAAAATAGTTTTTAAAAATCTACCAGTGCCCTTTCTGCATTTTCTTAATTATTGTCATAGTCTAAATTTCGTAGCTTTTGAATTTTTTTTTGTTTGAGACCTTTCTAGAAGCTGTAATATTACAAAAGAAAAGAAGAGAAAAAGAACAAAGATTAAATCAGCACTTCTCACCTAAGTATACTTGGCATGTAAAATCATGAACTTTTAAAACTTTAGAATATTTACGGTTTGACAAACATGTGGAAGATACTATATCTGTCTTCTTTTCTATTGATTTCTTCTCTAAGATAAAATTTAGTGGCTTGAGAACTGATGTAAATACTTTATGAGGTCAGAAAAATTAGATAATATTGAAAGAACTAACAGTATCATGTTAAAGATTGATTTAACAAGTATTTATTAAACTCCTACTCTGCACTAAACCTGCTCCAGCTGCTGATCCCTGATTACCAAAACCACCAGTTGGAAATTATTCATTTTTACTACAGTTAACCATAATTATTATAGATACATCACTCATTTCAAGATGGTCTTTTAAATAAAGAAAGCCATATAAATAAAGTTATCAAGAATACAACGTTTAACTGTAACAATATTATAATTTATTCACATTATGACTATGTTGGTCTTTATTGAGAAAAGTGATGTCTACAAAATAATTAAGGAATTTTAGGATAATTTCATCCATAAAAGAAGAATATACCATATTCCATTTGGAAATAAACTAAAAGCAATTTCATAGAAAGGAGAACCATCCAAATGGGTCTTGGAAAAAAAATAATAAAACCACAGACATTTTTATCAGGTAACAACAATATTATTTTAATTTGCTCTTTGGATGAGTGGGCTGAGATATAGTCAAAATACTTACACAATTAAGAAAATGAACATAGTACGGGAAGTGCTAGCCATAGCAATTAGACAAGAAGAAGAAATAAAAGGTATCCAAATTGGAAAAGAAGTAAAACTGTCATTATTTGCAGATGACATGATATTGTACATAGAAAATCCTAAAGACTCCATCAAAAAATTATCAGGCTTAATAAATGAATTGGCAATGTAGCAGGACACAAAATTAACGCCAAGAAATCTATGGCATTTTTATACACCAATAGTGAACTTACAGAAAGAGAGATTTAAAAAAACAATCCCATTTACCATCACACCAAAAAAAAGTAAGATACCTAGGAATAAACTTAACTAAGGAGGTAAAAGACCTGTACTCGGAAAACTACAGGACACTGAAAAAAGAGGTAGAGGA